TCTAAATAAATTTTTCGTTGGTTTGAATCTTTTGACTCTTTTTTGTTGTAATGTTTCAACTGCTGAGCTCAAAATTAAACCTTTCAGAAACTCAGGTGTTTAGTTATGAAGTAAGTTTTGTTTGGTTTTGCTTCACTGCTGTATCATCAGCATATAATTATGTGTTTAATGAGTATGTATTAGGCGATGAATCAATTGTCCTTGAAACGAAGGGAAGTGGCCCGAGAATTAATCCTTGTGGAACTCCGCAAAAAAAAACGATTTTCGATTTGACCTTTTAGAGCCTTTTTGACTCATTTTGTCACGTATGATTTCAAAAATGCTTCAATGGGACCTCGTAGTCCGCTGTTCTCAGCTTTTTGGTGAAAGTATTGGCTGTAAAACATTATCAAACGCTTCTTTCTCTAAGATCTATGAAAGTAGCATATGTTAGATTGGATTTTAATTCCCAATCGTTTCCGACTGCAATTTATTTAATTTATCTAAGTTTTGCATCACTTCATGTCCTCCACGAAGTTAACCGAAGCATCTTTTCATGAAAATCTAGGTGTGAAGTCTATCCGAATTGCTGTTTAGTCGGAAACAGTGTTTACCTGAAAAATAAATAATGCATTTGTCTTACAACGAAAAAGTCCACAGTTTGAAGTCCTCAATGCGTCACCTCAGGTCAATTAGTCGAACTGTGACCTCCTACAGAAAAAATTAAGCACATATTTTTGATAAATTTTTTTGCTACATCCTTAACCAATATTTTTTCCTTTGGGAGGTCCTGTGAAATCTTTTTCTTATGGAGGTTCAATATGGCCTAAAATAGACCTTAAAAGTTAGTCACAGCGGTTTGACTGATTTGGCGGGGCTGCGATAATATATAACATCAAAAGGTTTTTTTTGGGATCAAAAATCCTATTGAATTGCTGGGCCAATGAGTGCATTCGTATTACATATCCACGACTAACAGTCGAATAAAAGGATTCTAAATTGATAACGAACCGACTCTATCATTTGATTTTTCAAAAAAAAAACTATTAGAAAGTTTCGACAAGAGTTTCTGAATGCTTAGTTCTAATTAACCACCAAATTGTTAGCAAAAAAACCTTGAGATTCCACCAACTGCGCTAAGTTATTTTTTATAGTTCTGCGAAGAAAAAAACAGCAAACAGGAAACTTTGGAAAAGAACCAATGAACACAATTAAACAAAATTTAGAACTTAATTTGTGAAAAAAACTCGAATTTCGAACTTGAAAGAAGATGGCTGGCCTTAAAGCTCTTTGATTTTCCAGAACAGTTTATGGTATATACTTTTTTTGATGAAATTACCCCAATTGGAGAAAACTGTTTCAAGAGGTGAAATTGTTATTTCGCAGGAAAATTCGATAATTCATTTCCACGTTCGAAACTCGAAATCCATCACGCTTTTCGCAACTTTTACATTTTTGCAGCTCGATAGTGGAGCTTGCTTTCGTTTCAACAGAGGAAATGAGCTGAATTTTTAAATAAAACCAATAGTCAAACCGCAAAAAATTACTTCGTAGTCTAAACAAATGATAAGATTTATCCTGAAAAAAAATCATCTCGACCTATATCAGAATCTGCACTATCTTTATTGACTCTAAGAAACGTTCACCGGATTACCTCAAAATGAATAGGAGGGGCGAGGGAAAAACTAAGAAAAAAGTAGTTTTTACACAAAATCGTCACTTAACTATCACTATCAAAATACCTTCTGGTGTATCCCACTACCTTGTAAATGTTTTGCATTTCTTAAGTTAAAAAAAAATAATTTGATAATAGCAATAAAAACTTGAGTTTTTTTTCCCAAAATTCAAGCTTTAATCACAAATTATGCATAAAAAGTTTGCCAATTGAGGGAATAGTCCGAACTCATAGCTTGCATTGCCTCAATATTACAGTTTTTTATCCGAGTTATTTGACGCGCTCAGATGATTTGAGGTTATGCGTTGAGCAATGTGTAAAAACATATAAAAAATTTCAGTCTGCCGCTATTTTAGTCGGGAGCTTTAGCATCGCTACATTCAAAATTACTTAACAAAAACAGGAGCTGAAATATCGTTATAAAAAAACATTGATGTCCACAAGAAAGTTTTAAAATATTGTGATTCTTAAACCAAATTTGTGTCCCAAAAAACTCAAGAACGCACAAACATATCGTTCCGATTTTCAAAGAAAACGGAATAGGTTTGCTTGGTGTCGTTTTTATATTTAGTCAAGGTTTGGCAATCAAAATAAGAATATTTAGCAAAAAAATATTTACCCCATTCAAGACATCGTTTCCCTTTAATCAAATTTAAAAATATATTTTACCTCCAACCACTTTCTGCAAAATTCTGGGGGATTAAAATTCGCCAATTTGGTCATGCACTGGACTAAGTTATGTTAGCTTTGAAAATTATATCCATAATGATAGAATCGTAACGCGAACTATTTATGCGCGGCGAATTCTAGCACAAATGAAACCGCTCCAAATAGCTTATTGGTCGTTTTAATTTTGACTTAAATTTTCACACCTGATCTTCGATATTGTCAAAAATGTACAGTTTTTCAGTTTACAAAATTGTACAGTGGCAAAAATGGCAAAATTCAATCCCATAGAACTTTGCATAAAATGATTGGAAGCAAAATGTCTTTTTACACTTGATTTGAGGGAGACGATATCTTTAATGGTGTCTAAGCTGTTTTGCTAAAATTTCTTATTTTGATCGCCAAAACAATACCAAGCATAAATATTCCGTTTTCTTTGACAGTTAGAACAATAAAAAAAAAGTTTGTGCGTTAAAATGTTTTTTGGGACAAAATTTTTAGCTTTGGAATAACAGTATTTTAAAAATTCGTTGTAGACATCAATGTTTTGAGCCCCAAATTATAGCAGTTTTTCAATTCTTGTTTTTGTTATGTAGGTTTGAATGTAGCGATGCTAAAGTTCCCGGCTAAATTAGTGGGTTTCCCATCCGTTTGGACACAATGATCAACGCAAAAACTCGAATCATTTGTGCGCGTCGAATAAATCAGCTTTAAAAACTGTGAAAGCTATGTGCTCGGAATAATTCCTCAATTGGCAAAATTTTTAACAATGGTTCGTGATTATTGCTTTAATTTTGGTAAAAAAATCAAAAAATCATATCGTCTTGTCAAACTTTCTTTTTTAAAATTAAAAAATGCAAAACAGTTAAATGGTAAGGGGATAACCCAAGGTCTGTTATGATAGTGATAGTTAAGCAATAAAGTTGTGTAAAAACCAATTTTTTCTTAGTTTTTCACTCGCCCCTATGTTTTTAGTAATCATTGCTTGTTTTGAAGTATAATGGTGAACGATTCTAAGAACCATTGAACGTAGGTCAGATTCTGATATAGGTCGAGATTATTTTTTTTTTCAGGAAAAATTTTAAGTTTTGTTCAATAATTTTTCGCAGTTTGACGTTTGGTGGTTTCTTTTAAAAGTCAGTCATTTTCTTTGTTGAAAAGAAAGCAAGCTCCACTATCGAACAGCAAAAGTGTACAAGTCACGAAGAACGTGATCGACTTCGAGTTTCGAAAGTGAAGTTGAATTATCGAATTTTCCAGCGAAATAACAATTTCACCTATTGATACAGTTTTTTCAAATTGAGGTAATTTCATCAAAAAAGTGTATATTGTAAATTGTTCTGGAAACTCAAAGATCTTTAAGGTCAGCTGATATTCAAGAAACGAAAACTTTAAAATTTACGTGTCCTTATTTTTTGTTTACTTGCGTTCATTGCGCTCTATTCCCAACGCCCTATTGTCCCTGTTTTTTTTTCGCAGATTCAGGTATAAGCTATCAAAAACTTACTTTGCGGAAGTAGCGGTATCTTAATATTTCTCAGTAATCATTTGGTGACTAATTATAGCTAAGCCTTCAGAAATTATTATCAGTTTTTTTTTGAAAAAATCAAATAATAGAGTTGGTTCATAATCTATTTAGAATCCTTTCATTCTACCGTTAGTCATGCATAGATAACATGGATGCCCACAATAGCCAAGCAATTTGATGGGATTTTAAGTTGTAGATAATTCTGAATAGATTATTGGTAAATGCTCCCCGAAAATTTTCCAATTTAACCAAGAGCTAATTCATAGCAAAATTGGGCTATAATTTGCTTAAGTGATAACGGGAAAATGCTAGATTATAGATATTGGTCGCTACTTTTTGCGAAATCACATCGTTGATATTCTAAGGCAGATTAACACTCACGATCGTTTACCTCAAGTTTTTATCTTCCATAATTGTTTTTCGATGCAAAAAACAAGGGAAGCTGAAAAAGGCTTCAAATTAGCATCCATTTGACCTGAAACAACGGAATCAAGTATTTTCAGAAGCGTGAGACCATTTTATAATTATTTTTGCCATCCCAAATAAGAGGAAAAAAAATTGATCCTATCTTCGCGTCCCCGCCAATTGAGTGAAACCGCTGCGGTGACTGATTTTTTGGACTATTTTACTTTATGTCGAGCCTCCTAAATAAAAAATTATTTGTAAAAATTGTATAAGGAGATGGAAGCAAAATAGGTTTGTGAAAACCTGTTTCGTTTTTCATGTAAGAGGTCACGATTTGTCGAATTGACCTGAGGTCACGAATTGGGGACCTCAAATTGTGGACTCTTTGTGGTAAAACTATAAAGTCTTTACAATCATTAGGGTATTTTTTGTACTTCTTCTTTATGCCCTGGAAGCCCATGGGGCTCATCCCCAGGCTTACCGTAAACAAAAAATGAAACGTTAAGATCATTATGGGTTGAATGAAATATCATTTGTTTTTTTTCTTTGGTAGATAATTATTAATTTCTGCACCATAACTTGCATGTTTTGCTTTTGTTTTGGAGTAATATTACCCCAAAGGTGTTTTTCTTTTTAAAACGGCCGAAAGACAAAAAGATTTCCTGTGATTGGTCATTTTGCTTCGTTTCAAGATTTTGATTAGAAAGTTGTTTTTCTTTTCATTTTTCTTTTGATTTTTCACCTCAAACGCCAACCGCTGCTGGATCAGTTATTTCAGCCAAAAATCATTCAAAAAATCTTCTGCTATGAATTTCTCGACTGAGTTAGTTGATTCAACTCCCACCTTCTGGGTATGTGTTTTGATCTTGAGTTTTCTTGAATTTAAGTTCTCTCTAATAGATTTTGGATGAGTCACATAATTTAAAATTTCAATCAAAATACAGAGATGTTTACAATTTTCCGCAAAAAATTTCAAAGAAGTACCAATTTTTTGTCCCTTTTTGTGTTAAAAATGAATTTTTTGACGTTTTTGACAATTGCTGACTTGTTTTTTTTTTTCAAATTGAAAATGTGATAACCAATCAATTATGTAATAATCAATCAATCAAATTACCAGTTTAACTTAAATTTTTTACTTAAGTTCTTAAGGTCAAGTTTATTAAATTTCGTTACCAGTTCTCCGTGATCACTGGTTGACGTTGCATTCTATCTCATACTTAACTGATTCTTTTCACTGAATCAAGTCGATGTTAATTTCATAGTTATTATAATGTAATTAGTTTGAATAACGTTAAATTACGTAATATAAAATTGCTCCATGTTGACGTCGATGCCTTTTTTTTTTCAATTCAAGAATTTTAATGAAAAATTTCAATTAACCTTACAAACACGCAATTTTCAAGAAACTCAAAAACATCAATTGTGCCACCACTCACTGGCATAAATTATGAAGCCAGTTTTTTGCTTCCATGTCTTCTTTGTGTTATTATAGGATGACTTCGTGCGTCCGTTGGACGAAGTGGAGACTACTCGAGGGATGGTGATGCGGGTGGTGTGGATCACGTGGGTGTGCATCTCTCTTCTCTTCGGAGTGCCCGGAAATCTACTCGGCAAGTATCAGCGACAAAACTTATAATTACACAATAGTTATATTTATGTTTATGTTTCACAAGTTATCGGCGAGTTTCTCATTAATTTGGTAAGTTGAAGATGTTCACAAAGTTCTGCATGCTTAAAAGTTTGTCTCCGGATTCCACAGACATAAACTCATATTTAAATTGTGCGCCTCATAAATACGCAAAACGGGTTGACAGAAACTTCCTATCAAACAATTTTCACACTTGAGATTTTCATAATTTGATATTCGCTTTGAAATTTTGGGTTTTCTCATGCAAGATAACCCTAAGTTTAAACGGCAACAATCAAAAATTTTTACTGCATATAATGATTTACCAAGTAAATTAGGGTTATCATTTTCACAAAGAGAGAGTAACGCACAAAAATTTAACATATTGTATAAGGCTAAAAACCTTTTACCTAAAATAAATCAGTGATGAAATTAGAGGCTTAGCTTGTTCGAGTTTTTACTGACTTTCGATGAAAATATGGAATATTTGTGCTTGGGATGTTTTTTTTGTTCAGTCAAATTTCGATGTTTTAAAGGAGATATTTGACTAGAAACTTTTGTACCATCTCAGAGATGTTGCGTCAAAGGCTGAAATAAAAAAATCACAGTGATTAATTTCTGTAGAGGTATGAGGGTTTGAAAATGGCTAATTTGGGAAATTTGGTACAAAAAATGCGCGATATGTTGCGTTTATGAACTATTCCAAATTGAATAAAGGCAACTCAATTTGCCTCAAAATTGACATTCGAGAGGGAAGATTGAATGGTTTTTTGGTTGAAATAAATTTTTTTTGGATTAATTTTTCAAGGAAATAATTTTTTCTAATTCGGCTTAAAATGTAGTACGAATATTCTTTTTTCGTCCTCAGAAACAAGCAGTTTTGCTACAGATTTAGGCTTATCCCAACAATCAAAAAACAAACATAACTAATTGTGGCTACAAAAAAGAACACTTAATTGTATTTTTTGGATAATTTGCACTCGTTCTAGATTACCTAATTGAAGATCATTAAATAAACGTATGACAAAAAAATGAGCAATATTTCATCTAAAAAATATAAAACATTTTTTTGATGATCAGAAAGCTTCAAAGCCATCGAACGGACTAAAAACTTGCTGTTAAAATCTTTAAAACCTTGCATTGTTTTCCAGCTATTTGAAATTTTTGAAATTTAAAGACAAGCGTTTTTTTTGCGTTTTTTCTAAGACAAGCGAGGGCTTGGCTTAGAATTATACCGATGCTCCAATTCTTCCGCTTCGCTCAAAATTAGAGCTATCGGTTGCATGGTCACATAGCTAAAAATCAATTTCAAGCACGGTTCCGATAAGATCACTATGGAGAGCACTATTTAAGATTGCTATTTTCTTAGTTTATATCATATTTTTGAAAAAAACGATAGCAAATTTTAAACAAAGATAGCCGGTTACTGTTCAAGTAGCACAGATTGTTCCGACTAGTCTTTAAAAAACTACTATCAAAAGTTTTTTTTTTAATTTAGTGAAGTTTTTCTGTGTGAGGTGATGGAAAAAGTCTGATGTAAAACTATATTTTAAGCAAATTTGACATTCATAGTAATATAGGCAATTGCACATAAATTTTTTTTGAAAATTGACTTGAAAAACAAAAAAAAATTTAAAAAATTTAAAAAACTCTTTTTTTTAAATTATTTTGCAGATTATAGTTTTTAAATTTTTTGGTTCGAAACTCCCAAAACGCATTTTATTTGCTTAAAGTTAATTTTATAGGGCTCAAATTTTGCCTAATTAAGCGGTTGTCTGCCTGATCGCTTGCTTTGTTTGCTCAAAATTAGACGAAAAAGCAAAAATTTCCAACCGGTTTGTCTCGACACTAGAAAAAAATTTTGAGAAGTTTTTAAAGTGGTTCAAATAACGACTGACCGGACTTTAATATGATATGTTCTCATTTCATCATTATTTGTTTTTGCGCGGAAAAAAAAAGAAGAAAAAAAACAGACTCGAATACAAAGTTTTTCCTCACTTTCAATGGTCGGAACAAAAACGTTTGAAACAATACTAGAGGCCAATTATGAACGAACGTAAGCAAGGATTGCGGGTGACTGATCTGTGCAAGTAGCTTAGAATGTTTCGACCACAGTCTTAAAAAAAACAAAAAAAATCTCAAATTGGTGTCATTTTATTCTGCATGTTGTGATAAACAGATCTGAGCAAAAAAAATAGAATGTAGGCATATCTGAGAATCAGAGTGAAATAGGTCAATTGGAAAACCGTTTTAAAGAAAATTGACTAGAAAATGAAAAATGATTTTAAAAGCTTATTTCAAATATTGAGCTAACAAACTCCAAAAATTACCTATATTCACGTTAAACTAAGTTTTCGCAGCTTAATTTCAGCTAAAAAAAGCTATTTTAGCCTACACAGTCATCTTATTATCTCGAAATTAGACCAAAAATCAAAAATTTCAAACCGGTGCTTTTCATTAATGTGAAAATAACTTTCATAATTTTAAATTGACGTTCGAATCTCGGCTGAAAGGGCTTTAATATCATATATCACTCGACCGAATCAAATCATTATTTTTTAAACCTGATTTTTCGTAGAAAACAAAAAAGAATAAACTAAAGCACACCCGAATACAAAGTTCCCCCCCCCCCCCCCATTTTCCATGGCCGGAACAAAAACATTGCATGTTTCAGTGATTGCTTCGATTGCGTTTATGAAACACATGCGACAGCTGCACCACCTGTTCCTCGCCAATCTAGGAATATTTCAAACACAAGACTTGACTCAAATAAGCCAAGAAGGTTTCTAAATAAACCGTCTTTCTTTAATAATTTGACAGGATACAACCAGGGCGGATCTAGGATTTTTTCTAAGGGGGATTTTCAAAAAGTTTGGATATATCTGTCAACTTCTTTTTTTGATCGACCAAATTGATTTTCTGAGCCCTCCCAAATCATCATAAAAATCGTTATCCGACCAAATTGTTTGCGCGGCAGAGGAATTTAGGAATAAACTAGCAAAAAGTTTTTGTAAACTTTTGGAAGGCTATGACCAAAATTGAGTATTTTTTGGCGCGCGCTGCCCTCGAAAAGTTTTTGGGTACCCTAGCTGATCAAGGGAGGTTATCTTGCAAAATGTTGCAAGAATCTTGCAAATTCTTTTAAAGATAGTACAAGATGACCTCATTTAAAAATAACCTTAATTCAAGCAAGATCTTATTATGAATTGCATAAACTATAACGACTACCTGAAACTATTTACATGACGAAAAATTCAAAATGAGCATAAATTTGAACAATTTAGAAATTTGCTTAGCCTAAAAATTTTGTCCGAACTTAAACTCAGAATTCGTTGTGACCATAGTCAAATTGGATCTTCATAGTTTTTTCTGGCGCTCAGAAGAAGGTTTTCATAGTTGTTTATCTTGCAAGATCTTGTAAGATAACCTCAGTCTTGCAAGATTTCAAGATAACCTCCGTCTTGCAAAGCTTGCAACATAACTCTCATTCGCAATATTCTTGTAAGATCTTGCAAGATAACCATCCTTGATCGATTAGAGTAGGCCAGCAAAAAATGGATGTCCTAAACAAATAACAAAGGAAGGATTCCCCGATAAAGCATTCAATTAAAGATATATCAGAAAATCTCACAGGGCGAGGACTTCTGAAGGAAGCACTTAAGGAATACAGAAATCAACTGAGAGACTTCAAGGATCGAAGCGATAGACCAATGGAATCAAAAGTAAGACGACTCGAAAGACACCTCTTCATGCGAAAATTTGGTCATGCTACACTAGACGAAGGGGTTGAAAGGAACCCGAGTTGGGAAATAGAGTTGGAAGAAAACTGAGAATTCCATAAACTAAACCGTCAATTAACCCAGAGACTTTCCTATGAACTGAGTATATTGAACTCTTTTTAAATAAATTATCCTACTTATGTTGTATAATTTCTTTCTTTCACCGAGGGGGGTGTGTCATACCGCTACTGCAGTAGCGGTATTTGTCTATGTATGTACAACCAACCTATGGTGCTTACTTATTACTTTTATGGTATGCTCAAGGTCATAGTGAGTGATGACATTGAGACTAAGTGAGAGATTAGAGTTCGTAACACTGATCTAGCCCTCAGTAACAAAATAAAACAGAAGAAAAAGAAAACCTAAATTCAATATTCCAAATACAGTATTGAATTACAACTTGTTTTCAACCGATATCGCAACGCATATCACATGGCGCAGCCAGCAGGATTCGCAGCTCAAGATAACAGAACGGATATGGGAATTCCGGTATTTTGGGCGTCAGCGAATCTAGACCCTCCGTGGCAATTCAAAATCTGGTTCGAACAATTTCTCATGGCGGTTACGGTCAAAGAAAATGTGAACCCAGAGATTATTTTGGAAGAACCAAAAGACATATTAGAGGAACTACCACCCCGCCCAGAAACACCCAGAGACGGAGAGAATGAAGATGCGAGGAACGCTAGGATTCTTAGAGATAAGCTAGCAATAGATAGAGTAGTATTGGAGAACGAAGAGAGAAAGACAAGAGGCCCACGAGTCAGACACAATGTCTTCTACAACGAAGTACAAAAGAAATTGGTGTCCAGATTATTTTTGTCTTTGGGTACAGAGGGAAAGAAGAGATTCCTACAAAAAAACCCGCATGCTGAATTATCGAAAATGACGTTCAGGGAAATTACAAACTTGGCAGAAGTCTCGTTTCAAAAGGTAAAATGTGTAACATACGAAAGATACAAGCTATTTACGAGAATGCAAGAATCTGGAGAATCTCTGGAATCATTTCACGCAGCGTTAACTGCACAAGCAGCCCGATCAGAACTGGGAGCATTGGAAAATGAAATAGTCCGCGACCTGTTTTTTTCAAAAATGAAAAACATGACATTGCAGGACACGCTGACATTCGAGACTCTAGACCCGGAAGAGGTTCTGAAAAGGGCTATAAAATTTGAACATAGCAAGTTAACCACAACGGCGTTTTAAAAGACTAATGCTGCGGTTACAGGGGTATCAAGTAACAATTACACCTCGGGTGTGAGAATAAAACAAGAACCTGTAATGGCAGTTCGAAATTTGTCGGGGACAACCAAGACTCCAAACAGAAGGGAATCGAATAAAAGACAAAACAATATCAAGAACCAAATCACGAAAACAAAACCATGTAATAGATGTGGAAGGACGTTTGACCAGGGACAACTGAAAAATTGTCCAGCGATGGGGAAAACCTGTAAACACTGTGGTAAACCCAATCATTTCGCTAAAATGTGCAGATCCCAACAAGTAAGCGAAGTTGCGGAAGACTCGGAAGGATCGGTAGAGGAATGCGACCAGATAAGTGAAAATGTTGGGTCATGTAGTGAGTTTGAAATTATGTCGATACAAACCTATCAACCGGAAAATGAGAGAGTTTCAAAATATGTGAAAGATCGAATCAATGAAATGAGGAACAATTCAAACGAAAAAATGATACAATTTCAGAAAATAGATTTGATTCGCGATCCAACATTCAAACGAGTAAAATCACTAAAAGCCATGGTACGAATAGATAAACAAATAATTCAATTAACAGTGGACACAGGAAGTCCAGTTTCATTTCTCAACTGGGCGACAACGAAGGAAGTTATGGAAAAATCAAACAAAGTAAGATTCATTGCGTCAGATAAACTGAATTTACAAACCAAATTCGTGGACTACAACAAACAACCGATCAGCATACTGAGAGCCCTAAAGACCAATCTGAGGTCAGCGGGCTGGGAGGTAAAGGGCGCCACCTTTCTGGTATCAGAATGAAAGACCAGATGTATCATGGGACTAGACTTGCAAGGACAAGTGGGAATAGTTACTACACAAAAACCAGCGCCCAAGGAACTCACCAGGTTTGACGTGCTCATGTGCGAGCACTCAGAAGGTTGGAAAGAAAAATTTTTCACTCAATTTAAAAACTTATTTGAAAGGCAAAGTATTTCAAAAAATCACATAGTAAGTTCAAAATTTAAATATCCATTATGTCCGATTCAAGAAAATGGGAGAAGAATCCCAATTCACATACAAGATAAAGTCGAAAAGAAATCGAGAAATTGTTGACAGAAGGTCATATAACAAAACTTGATAAATGTACGAGTGATTGCTTTATCGCTCCGATTGTGATAACAGTAAAGAAAGACGATTCCATAAAATTGGCAATGGACGCGAAACCAATCAATAGACAATTGTTCAAAAATAAATACCAAATGCCGAATGTAGATGAACTCCTTGATGGGGTAAGCCAGATTGTGACTGAAAACAAAAAGGGTACGCTATATTTTTTGGTGTTAGATTTGAAATATGCGTACAGTCAATTAAAATTGGCTGCTGATACAGCTAGACAATGCAACTTCAACATTGTTGGTGGGAAAGCAACTGGAACCTACAGATTTTTCACAGGGTTAAAGGTTTAGCAGATATGCCAGCTGAATTTCAAAAGGCCATGAATAGAACCATCAACCACACTAAAAACACGTTCTGTTTTCTTTTGACATACTTAATGTGTCAAAGGGAAGCGAAATTGAACATGGAAATTTGGTAGAAACAGTATTAAAAAAATTGGACGCGGAAAATTTGGCATTGAAACTATCGAAATGCGAATTTTTCAAACAAGAAGTGAATTGGTTGGGTCATCACCTCTCAGAAGCAGGGGTTAGACCAAAAATCACTAAAACGGAAGCAGTAGTAAATTTGAACCCGCCGAAATCGCTTAAACAGCTAAGGTCATTCCTGGGAAGTATGAATCACTTAGCTAAATTTATACCTAACGCAGCAAGCCTGACTGAAAAATTAAGACCACTTCTAAAAGAAGAGAATCAAAAGAAAAAGTTAAAAAACATGAAACTCCCCGTAAAAAAGTTTGAGTGGGGGGATGAACACACGGTAGTATTTAATGCTATATAAGAAGCTGTGGCAAATATAACAAAAGTACATTATTACGATGCGACCCGAGAAACACGAGTTAAATGTGATGCTAGCCATGATGGGCTAGGGGCTACTTAAGAACAACAAAATGATGAAGGCCAGTGGGTCCCAATTTCATTCGCATCCCGATACCTAAATTCCCAACAAAAAAAATATTCAACAAATGAATTGGAGTTACTGGCAGTTGTTTGGGCAGTAGATAGATATAAACACTACCTTTTGGGAAAACCATTTACCATTGCAACTGACCATAAAGCACTTACAACAGCATTGGATGGTAACAAATCGAACAAGACCTACCAATCACGTTTAACCCGGTGAGTTGACCGTTTACTGCCATATCAGTTCAAAATAGTTCACATTCCGGGGAGGGACATGGGCATAGTTGATTATTTATCGCGTGATCCTTTCAATGATCCCTGGCCCGAGTCAGAATTAGACGAAAAGTTTGTAGTAGCGACAATAAACTCCTTTCATGAAGCGTTCGACTGGAGGAACAGTAGGCTTGAGGAAACTGGGTCGCTCAACCGGAACGAAAACGTTCTAGAATGTTCTAGAAGGAATGCAAAGAAACAGTCATCAAGTAATGGTTGCTATAGCAACCAAAACGGTCAAAAACGAACAAAGCTCGACCGGAACGAAAGAAAACAGTTTTCACGACTGCAAAAACAGCTAAACACAGCAGTTCAACATAAACAGATCACTTTTTCGTCAAATCAACCCAACAAACAGTCAGTCTCAAATAATTCAAAAAATCGTAAAACAACCAGTACCAGAAATTCGGAAAAAAAAACAGACTCAAGGATCGAGATGTCAGGAAACAGATAATACGACTGGTGGTCGGGCTCACCACAAGAATGGCGAAACGAGGAACGCGAAGAGAGTCTAATGGACCCAAAGTGGAACCGCTCACTATCCAACACAAACGAACTTTCGGAAGAGGAGGAGATCACAGAGACAGTCCAGCGTACAAGAAAAATCATTAGAGGTGGCCGGAAAAACAGAGATAGCTCCGACAGTGAAACACGACATGCATCACGGGTGAAATGGCAGCTTGAACCGGATCAACAAAGAGAAGCAGATCAAAGACTACTCTCATTCTGGCAACTAATAGGCGGAGAAGACAATATACGGGAAAATAGAGAACTCATGGCACACACCCAAGAAGTCAGGGACAGCTCGGAACATGAATCGAGTTCAGCATTGACTAAACCAATCGCATCGGCGGAACGGAAACTAAGTGAGGTGCAGGTAATAGAGATGGACCTGACGACTACAGAAGAGGCGGAGAGTGAAGAGGAAGTGTGCTCAATAGAACCGCCGAAGGGATTGGGAAAAACAAAACTGCCAAAGCAGCAACAAGAAGAGACCCTGGACAATTTAGCAAAACTGTTCGACAAAAGTCTACTAGCAGAATTGACCACCGAAGACACGTGGATGGACCGCCTCAGACGAGCGATAGAAAGAGGGGAAAAACAAGGCTTTGAATTAATGGGACCTTATACAAACCCGTTGTGGACACAGATGGCAGTTCAGGACGACTGCATCTTGGCGAATAACCGGCTAGCAGTCCCCGTACAACTAAGACAAGCTGTCCTAAAAAGAATACATCGAGGGCATCCAGGCCAAGAGGCTACGCTGGGAGCAGCGCAATACCTGTGGTGGCCACACATGAATAAGGACATTGTGAATCTGGCAGAGGAGTGCTGTAGCTGTACCAGATATGGTAGAATGTAAAATATCTTATTTCGAAAAATGCGTCAAAAAAACTGCCACTGCTCACGCAGCGGGGACAGGAAGTACAATTAGATTACGCGGGGCCCATAGAAAATCAAAAAGGAAAAAAAATCTACCTTTTAGTAGCGATAGATCGATTCTCAAAATTTCCATCAGTGAAGGTTACGAAATCTACAAGTGGGAAGTGCACAGTAAAATTCTTGAGATCATATATCGACACTCATGGAGTTCCTGAATCAATTCGTTTGGACCAATTTTCAGGTTTTAAGGGGAAAACGTTAGAAAAATTCTGTTCGGAACTCAATATCGAGCAAAAATTCTGTCCGGTGGGGGACCACAGAGGCTGTGGTTTGGTCGAACGTACAATCCAAACTATAAAAAGAAGACTGGGGATGATGATGCTCGAAGAAAATGATAAATCAATCAAATTATGTCTTAGTATTATAATGAGAGATTTACGGTGGAACAAGCAGAAAACCATTCAAGTATCCCCGTTTCAAGCACATTTTGGCAGACTACCAAAAACAGAATTTAAAATTGTGAGGGATAGGTTTTTAAATGATTCTGACTATTTAGACAAACAACACTTGGAACGCTCTGCACTGACGGCTTCTCAATTGAAACGCAGAATTGACCAGTCGAGAGAGAACCTCAAAATAGTAAGCAAGGGAGAACTCAGCAGAGATACAAGCCCACTGCACAAGCAGCAGCTAACATCGGACAGAGATAAAGAAAGGGCCAAAGCTCTAAAAGAGTTGTTGGAGGCGAACGCCCGCTGGAACAACGAGAGAAGAGATGCGGCTAAAAACGATATCAGAAAATTAGTGGACGAGATAGGACTACTCAATCCCGATCTTCGAAAGGAGATGATTTACTCTTGGGAGAAAGGATTTGTGGAGGACAAAGTGGAAAATCAATGTAAATCACCACCCAATACAATACTCAGAAAGTACCACTAAGAAAAAGCGGACAAGCATTAACCAAACAATTAAAAGGGAAAATCGCTTCTGAAACAGACTCAACAATCAAGACGTCTACTGGCTCGATTTATAGGAAATCGGATATTGCACAATCGAAAAGGGTGCTAACACAAGAAAACCAGCGAAGCACGAGTAAAAGTCCATCGGTGGGACCTACAAAAAAGTTTAAGAGGATCAGTTCCCCCGAATTACTCGAGGAGTTGGGATCAGATGAAGAACTACAAGAAGAAATGGAGATCGCAGATACGATGAATCCCATTGAGCGTTTTCAAAATAGCCAAACAATAGTGACTTCAAAAAACACAGAAGCAGGGGGAGGTCTGAACTTGGCAATCAAAAGAGCAAAACCCAATTTGGCAGGCCCAAAATCAACTATAGAGGAAAATGACACCAAGAAGTCGGAAAAGAACGGGAAAGAAAAGAAAATTCGAAACAAGCAGCAACAGGGGACAAGCCAAACTACGACGGCAGTCAACCCGGAACAGGAGCAATCGACATCAAGGCCGGAAAAAGTAGACACCAAAAATCAGTCAAGTTCTACACCGAAACCAAAACAGCGGTCGAAATTGAAATGTATTGACTCCCACACTCCCCTAGAGGACATAGTCGACACATTGCACAATCGCAATTTAGCACCGTCCGAGTGGGAGAAGTATGCAGACCAATTGTTAAAACGAGGAGTACAGCGAGTTGCAGACGAAATCCGAGGAAATCCCCAACAAATTTCGGAAAAAGATACAACTTTCGAACCACCACAAGGATTTTCGAACGAGTCGAGTACTGAAGAGTCGGGTATCAGACGAAGCTCCAGGCAAACGAAAAACAAGGAACCGAAACGCTTTGGAGACCCGATAAAGCATTCAATTAAAGAGATATCAGAAAATCTCACAGGGGGAGGACTTCTGAAGGAAGCACTTAAGGAATACAGAAATCAACTGAGAGACTTCAAGGATCGAAGCAATAGACCAATGGAATCAAAAGTAAGACGACTCGAAAGACACCTCTTCACTAGACGAAGGGGTTGAATGGAACCCGAGTTGGGAAATAGAATTGGAAGAAAACTGAGAATTCCATAAACTAAACCGTCAATTAACCCAGAGACTTTCCTATGAACTGAGTATATTGAACTCTTTTTAAATAAATTATCCTACTTATGTTGTATAATTTCTTTCTTTCACCGAGGGGGGTGTGTCATACCGCTACTGCAGTAGCGGTATTTGTCTATGTATGTACAACCAACCTATGGTGCTTACTTATTACTTTTATGGTATGCTCAAGGTCATAGTGAGTGATGACATTGAGACTAAGTGAGATATCAGAGTTCGTAACACTGATCTAGCTCTCAGTAACAAAATAAAACAAAAGAAAAAGAAAACCTAAATTCAATATTCCAAATACAGTATTGAATTACAACTTGTTTTCAACCGATATCGCAACGCATATCACTGTCAACTTATTTTTTAGATCGACCAAATTGATTTTTTGACCCCTAAGATCTTGCAAGATAACCCTCCTTGATCGATTAGAGTAGGCCAGCAAAAAATGGATGTCCTAAACAAATAACAAAAGAAGGATCCTTTGGGTGGCCAAGGTGTCAAATTATTGAGGGCGGGAGCTCCTGGATATAACTGAGTACAATTTTAATAGTTTGGTCCCTCAAGAAAAAATACAAGCTCAAAAACTTTTTAATTCAATCTGCTCACTTGCTAAATTAAGTATTCCAATTTTTCGTATCGTGATCAACTTTTAATTTTTTTTCGAAAGATTCAGAAATAGATTGATTCAGCAAGATGCAAAACTTTTCAAAAATGCGTGCGAGTTTCTTGCAATCTGTATATAAGATATGTATAATTTTCTAAACGATCTTGCAAAATTTTACTTTTTTTCCAAAAAATCTAAAGATTCTCCAAATTTTTCATCTTTTAGATTATTGCAAGTTTCTTAAAAGATCTTGCAAGATAACTCAACTTAGATTGACTTTGATAAAAGGTAGGTTATCCTGGCTTAAAAATGCGTGACCACGTATCTTTAGTGTGCATTTCCATATTTCAAAACTAGTGTTTAATCGGGAAGCCTTTAGTGTTTGAAATAAGTCAATAAACATAGCCGTGTTTGATTTGGCTGTGATGGTGATGTTCTTGTACATGTTGTATGGGGGCGTGTATGGGTCGGACTCCTTCGAAAAGAACGACGCCTTCTGCGAGTTCACAGCAATCATCTGCAGCATGAGTTGTTTTGGCAGTCTGTGGAGCATGATGTGTGTGGCTGTCAACAGGTGAGACTTTGGGACTACTTTTGAAGCGCATTATTATTAAATAAGTAGAACTAGGGCTCACACTGGGACTATTTTTGATGGGAGAAACTTCTTATCAGCCAATCAAGACTCACTTTTCAGGAGTTCGAAGGAAATGAGCTATAAAACTTGTCAATTTAACTGTTTGAAAAGCGTTCATTGGTTGAAAATTTTTGCTCATCTGATTCTTTGCGCATCAGAATAACCCCGAGTAAGAATTATTAGTAAATTGGTAAAAAACGAGTTACACTTTCGGCAAACAACTCAAGTGGCTAAATGAACGAGGAAGATATATTGTCAAGTATAACAATTCGCCCAGGTCACTTCAAATGTATCTATAAATAGCATACTTCAGTTTTATATCAAAAACATATCATATGCATTTTAGTTCAAAAGCATAGCACTTTGGCTTTTTGATTGATTTTAATCTGTCATATAGTGTCCTTCTCAAACTGTTTACCTTTCCTGTCAACAACTTATGTGATAATTGATTAAGGGAGAGTTTTTTTCTGGAGGAGTGATTTATCCCATGCCACTGAAAACAAAAACACTCCAAAATTTTAACGAATTTTATCACTTAGCTTATTCGATTTTTATTTAAGAATGTAACACGTTAAGGATCAAACGTAAAATCCCCCCCCCCCCCCCCCTTAGTGACCTACTGTAGAATGCCCTACCCAAGCATCTATTAATTCTGAAAAATCTGTAAAAAATATGCATACTAACGCGCAAATAAAATTAGTTTTTATATTTTTTATGCGGGATTGTTTTCGTATACTATTGATTGATACACAAATTAATGTTTGAATTCAATTTACTTTAACAATACGGTTAATTTTGAACGAATATAGGCAATACTCAAAGTTACCATATGAAAAACCAATATTTTCTCCGCTAAATCGATTTTGGGAGCGGATTGTACGGTTGATCTCACTTTCACTTTTTTTATATTTTAATTATTCTCTTGAAGTGCTTAACCTTCGATCTAGAACTGAAAACTTAATGAAATGAGGGTGACAGTTAAGTGTGATGGTTAAGTCCATTTTACTAAAAAAAAAATAAGGATGCCCTAAATTTTTTATGAAAAATCTATCGCCTCTAGTATATTCTCTTTTAACACTTTTTCCTTTTCCCCACGTGCAAACTTCAACGAGAAAAAAAAACTTTCACTTTGTCCGGTTGTTATGAAAACTAAAACACAGACTAACTAAGCCACATTACGAGGCCAAACTGTGCACTGGACAATTTTGTGTCTGTATGTTTTTGAATTCCAGAGACAAGTGTGTAACATGTACCAAAATGTAAATGGATTCCATTCACAAATCTTCCATGGATTCCGCACACAATTAGCTGTAACGTAAATATGTCGGCGCATTAGTTTTTTACTAATTCCGCAACGGGCGAATATAGGTAGTTGTTCCGGATTCCGCAGATGGAAGCGGATTCCGCAAATAAAAGTGGATTCCGCAAAATGAATCCGCAATTTTAGCAAAACAGTGTTTTAGCTATTTTTCCGTGGAATCCAAAACAGCAGTGAAGATCAAAGAAAATGAGCAATATTGCCGATTCCGCAACTATCCTGTTTTTGGCTTGTTGCGGAATCCGCTAACAATTCACAAAATGCACAGTTTGGCCTCGTAATACATGGAAAACACATTTGGGCTCCATTTTCAACCTTGTAAGACCCTTCGTTAAAGCATAAAATGATGCTCATGCAAGGTGGGGGATAAGAAACATGCTTCATTTTCAATTCCATTACGTCGCCAATCCGTGTTATTTGGTTTTTGCGGAATCGGTGCCAAAAAGCTTGAAATCGTGTGTCCCGGATTCCGGAACACACGCATTTTCTTTGATGTTTTTAGATTCCGTGGATTCCTAATTCAAACCAGTTTGTATGTGACCAGCTTTTGTCATGGATTCCGGGACAGCTAAAACCACCGATTTTGTGACAATCCCGGAATCCATGACAAAAACCATGGAATCCGATACCATATTAAAACGCATTAAAAAACGGTTTTACCATGGATTCCTGGGCTTTTGGCTTCTGCGTGTTCTGGAATCCGGGACTTTACCAAGGGACCGGATTCCATGACATTTTACAACAATTATCAATACACAAAATTAGAAATGTTTAGTGTTTTGCCATGGATTCCATGATTAACACAACTGTTAATGATACCATGATTAACAAAAGAAATCTTTTAGTGACTTAAGTGACTTCTTAACTTCTCAACTGTATCACTCTATACTGTATACTATATACTCTATACTGTATACTGTATAAACAGATATTTCAATTAGTTTAGTTTTCATTTGTCATTTATCATTTACAGGATTTGTCATTTACAGGATTTGTCATTTACAGGATTTGTCAATTTACAGGATTTGTCATTGATTCCATTTGTCATTTACAGGATTTCAGCATTCTAGCAAATTTTATATTAGTTTAGTTTAACTAGTTTCATTTGATGTTCAACATTTGAAGTTCAGAAAAACAGCCTGTGAGTTGAATATGAATACTACTCATGATTATTCAACACTAAAACTTGAGTCTCATAAACTATTCAACACTTAAGCTTGAGTCTCATAATAGGATAAGTTAGTAACTTGTTGTCAGAAAAAGTTTGCACGCGCGTGCGCACAACTCAGTGTCAAGATTCACACTATATCATATAGTACCTATGATAGTTACTTTAAATCACCATTGCATAAATTCAATTCATCATTGTTTTGAAAAAAGTCCTTCATCGAAAGATTCAACAAAAGTTACTCACAATTGTCAACTTGAACAATGGAATTATGGAATAAATTTTTAATTTCTGGCGCCGACTCGGACATTAACCGTCAGTTTGTTGACTGTAACATTCTGGATGCAATTGCCGAAAAGTTTATCCAAAAAAAGTACGACAAGTTATCAAAGATTCTTGAAGAGATGCTCGCAGGGACGGATAAGTGGATCGTTTCTGATGTTCTTCGTCAGATATCTGTGCGGGGACAATCAAAAAAAGCTACAATTTTAGCAGTAAGTAACTCTTCACAAATTTATCGTTTTCAGTCACCAAACATTCTTTACGTTGATTAATTCAACTTCAATTACGTTCATCTTTACGTTCAATTAAAATTCAACTTTCAATAAAATTTATATCCAATTGGGACAACACAACACTGTTTAGGCTCGCGTAATGCAACTCGTAATTCTTCGTGGTTCAAGAGAAATGCCTTGGACCAAGACTCGGAAGGAGCTAGTAAAATGTTTCTTCGGTCCAATGTTCATACCTGACGAAGTTGATCCTTATAAAGCGCTCAAAGCAACCGAAACTTCATTTTCATTTGAACAGTGCGGCACTCAATCAAACTTACCTCAAACATTGGAAGAGTCAAGACACGTTTCCAGGATAATGAAACGATCAAAATTTATGTCTATAACAGCTGACAACTCCCAACAACTATGGGGACAAGTGCTGAAACTGATACGACAAAAAAAAATTCAAATAAGCACATTTGTTAAATTGATTCGACAATCCGCATTCAGCCGTAAAAAGACGTATTCTGGGTATAGAAAGAATGACACAAATGTCTTACGAGTTTTGGCGATGGAACTATTTTCTAAAAGAGGTTCAACGAAGGATTTTGAGTTTTGCTTGGGCATCGCTTGTAAAACTGGAAACGTAGAAGAAGTGATCAACATTATCCGGAATAGACTACAACTGATTGGCCTCGGACATAATTTAGTACCCTCAATGAGAAATGTCCAACGATCAACTGCAAGCCTTGTAAATCACTTTTTGGCCTTGTGCAAACCACAGAAGTCCTTCTCTGGATTCAGAACGGACTTGGTTGCATGTATACAACTAGCTGTTTTTCTATCGTTTAAAACAAAAAACATCAACAACGTTAAAGTCGATATTTGGGGTGACGGTTGTGAAATTGGTGGCACAGAAGTTACGAGAATGGCTTTTAGACTACTTTCTGAAGATATTAGCGCCCAATCTGCTACGAGCGTCTTCTGCTTCGCAGGTACTCCTTTTTCTAAAATCATTTTAAAATCATTTCTTCGCAAGTTTTTTTCTCAACTTGAGACTAAAATGATTTTTTTTAGCTTATCGAGGAAAAGACTCAAGGTTTGCGATGGAGTTGAACTTGGGACCGAGTGTTGTCGGATGTCAAGAGTCAGGGTGGTTATTCCAGCAAACAAATCATTTGAAAAATTTGGGAGCAAAATTGACGTACAGTGGAGATACCCCGTTTCTCCATCGACTGATACTGGGCTCCGGAAACGACCTGTCTACAGATTACCCTTCTAAGATGGCACTTTATGTAGAAGACGAACGTTTTCTACCTTCCCTTTGCGACAAAATAACTGGTCGAAGAACGGATGTAAAGATTCCATTTCGCACGAATATTCCTGAAACTTCTCTAGTTTTCCTTAATGACGTGAGATGCATTTGCCCAGATGCCACGCACATGCTCACTCGATGCGTTGAAAGTGACCTGAGAAAAATGGCTCAAAAAATTATCAACGACAAAAGTCCGTTCGAAATGGAGTTTCTTCACCGCTTTGAACAGAATCTGTCAAGTCGTGATGCCAAGAGACCCGTCTTCCAATTTACAAGAACTGCGAAAAATGCGCAACAAGTTGGAACGGTTGGAGCGGTATCGTTATCTGTAAGTGGTGCCTTAACTGTTATCGCGGACAAAGAGGAGTTGAAGGTATGCTAAATTACCATTTTAATGTATCCTCATAATTTCAATTTTACAATGTTACAATTTAGGATGCCAAGTTTGGAACAATAACCGACCTATATGATGGAGTGTGGTGCGATGAAATAGTTAGCGGTACCTCAGATAAAACCGTCGCAAATTCCATTGATATCCTCAAAGTATTGCATCCAAATTTGTTCACGAAAGAGGACCCTAAAGCGAAAGGAAAACTTTCTATAACGACTCTGGATGCAAGCGAACTTTTGAGAAAAAGCTTGAAC